ATCTGTTTCTTTTTAATTATACCTACTTGAATGGGCTAAAGATCCAATGTCGCGATAAGTTCATCATGGCATACCCTGACAGCCATTCTACGCTGAATTTTTTCAATCCAGCTATAAAGTACAGCGCAAAAAATTGAAACTTTAGAATGAAATAGTTCCACAATGGCACGGTCCTCTCGGTTCCTTTCATCTTCGTAGCATCCAACGCACTGTAAGAGAATAGTCCATTCATTTCTGACTCTGTAAAATTAACTGCAAGACATAGCACTGTTCTAGTTGTACGGATTTATAAATTTAATGCTTTGCAGAAAAGTCAAACAGATTTAAAAAGTAACGTCACATTTTCTTTAACATTAGAATCATCAGAGTGGTCGAAATTACTAATTCCTAATTCCTCCGCATATCATTTTATAGATTTTTAGAGATTTGGAAAATTTTTCGTAAAACTTATAAATAAAAGCTTGTGCTCCTTATTGTATCACAAACTTCTCTTATTCTCTACATCCTCACTTCTCTGATTTGAATTTTATATTTTACTCTTCAGGAATGATACCTAACTCTTCTGTGAGAAGAACGAATTTTGATCGTTTGACTATTGCAATTATTTAAAGCCACAGAAGTAATTCGTTTAATTTGATTACTATGAAAATTATCAAAAAGTCTAAAAATTGTTCCGTAATTCCAGCAATAAGAGCACGAATGACTCGTGTCAGTGAACATTCTCGTTCAGATTTTCTTTCAAACTCACAAGTACTTGTTAGCCTCCGTACCCCAGAAGAGAATAGCAACGATCCCATACAGATAGGTATGGTTGTTCCAGTAACTTTTATCCAGGAAAAAGATGTACCAATACGGAATTGCGAAACAGGCGCAAGCTAGTTTGAACCGCGAGCCCAGCATGATGCCAAAGGCGCCTATCCACATTATCGTGTAAATTAGTATCATCCATGGTAACGAGGGGGCCTTCATTCCGTGAATTAATGGGAAATGGCATTCCATAGGATCTCCCCATTTTATGTCGATGTCGGCCAGTCCTCGTTCCTCAACGATGTCCAATACCATACACAATCCTAAACAATAGTCATTTAAGTACACAGATGTAAAATCACTGTTAATTCTATTTTTGCCTACTATTTTTTTTTTTTTTTT